AAAATGGTAAAATAGTTCAAAAATGTTATGTGGAATAACTTACCAACGTAACACAAAGTAAACCAATTGAATTTAAAACCGAGAATATAAAAATGTAAGTAACAGAGCTCAAAAACACCTTTTGAATATTATAAATAAATATATCATTTATTGTTGTTTTCGAACCCCCTATTCAAAAGTGCTGGCTACGGGCCTGGTGTGTGTGTGTGTGTGGGGGGGGGGGGGCTCCTATTCAAATTGACGTGGGCTGGGTAGGCTAGGTTTGTCAATTGATTTGTCAATTTGTTTGCGGCCTGGCGCGCGTGTATGTACAGGCTCTAAAATCATGCCTATTGCAAAACAATTCAACCGACAACCATTTTGCTGCCACCGTGACTGCATGGTTTCTTTCCACTGAGTTCTACGCGTGATTTTATTACGTTCAACATTTTCAAACTGTGCATGCACACACACTGTTATTTCTCGAAATAAATTCTAATTATGTAACTTGTCACTGGTAAAAGTTATTGGAATCATTTTCATCAATTTTAAGCAATAGTAGTAGAGTAAAATCAACGTGCCTCTGCATTCTCCACGAATTTCGTAACTTGCTATGATCACGTTAAAGAAAAAGCCTGTGGTTACTTTCAACAGTTTGCTGGAGTCTGGTCGAAAAACACTTTTACATCAGTTTTCTCCATTATCCTTTTGGCGTAGTTTTACTAATAAGACGAGTTTTTCATTGCTATAGATATTAAATATATTAAATGAGCCGATTTTTTTTCAGTCAATCGTGTCGTGCAACTCCCCTGATGACGTCACGGCGATTGTTCTGATTGGTCAAAGGCAGTTTTTAAATTTATAACTGTTTTATGTCTATAAACTGTAAAATTTGTTAGTATATCTTAGTCAATACAACGACTTTTATTATTTTCATAAAAACTCTTCAGTTGATGGCGTCTTCCGGGATGAATAAATTATTAACTAGATTAACCACGTATGACCACGTATGTTTGTATTTTAAAATGGCGTCTTCCCCCATGCGAATAAGGAGACGGCTTCCTGCGTGGCAGCGGGTCACACGAACAACATTATGTTTCATGGGTCTTGGGCTTTCACTATATGCATATTACGTTGAAATGAAGAAGGAGGAAGACAAAGACTACGAAGCAACGTGTGATTTCAATGAATCGGTCAGCTGCTCTAAAGTGTTCACGTCCAGGTATTAATATCATATCTACTAACATTAATATGAACACATGGGTCAATATTTTTGACCATGTCATTAGACCAATACTAACATATGGGTGTGAAATTTGGGGAATTGAAAAATATATTGACAAAACACCAGTGGAAAAATTAAATCTAAAATGATGTAAGTTATTATTACAGATAAATCAATCATCCACAATTCTAGCAGTAAGAGGAGAATTAGGCATATACTCGCTGTCAATATTTATTAAGAAAATGTTATTGAAATTTTGGTTAAGAACAAGCACAAAAAAAACAAAAACAAAATACTTTAGTCCATGAGGCAATGATGAGTACGATGGAAATGGGCTAAGTCAATGCAAGAAATTACTGGTAAAAAAGAAGTAACATTCAAGAAATTTGTAAACGTTTAGAGACTGACTATGATTCAAATTGGAGAAAAATTATAAATACAGATGGGACAGGTGAACAGAATAAACTAAGAACATATAAATTATTCAAAACAGAATTTAAAATGGAGGAGTATATAAATAATGTTAAGGATGGTGGAATAAGAAAAAGAATATGCAAACTAAGAATAAGTGCATGACCATCCCTTAATGATTGAGAAAGGCAGGCACTTAAGGCCAAAGGTTAAAGTTGAACACAGGAAATGTACAAGATGCAACACAAATTCAATTGAGGATGAATTCCATTATGTTATGAAATGCCCACAACATATTACAATTAGGAGGAAATTATTTGACTGTTAATTTCCATTTGATGGATGAAGATTCAAAATTTAAATACGTTATGGGCAACATTTCCACATTAATACAGCTTGGCATTTTTATAAAAGAAAGTATGGTAATGTGATACAGTAATTATCAATTCCCTGATTTTTCCAAGCCCTTTTGTTAAACTGTTTTAATATGTTTTTGTTAATATGTATTTAGGAATTGTTATCTAGTTATAGATTGGACTATGTTCTATTCAAAATGAATAATGTCAATAAAGTTATATAAACTCCCGTTATATAAACTCCCATACCACGATTACCATAGACAACATTGTCAATGTTTTTGGTATTTGTGAAAAAGAAAGAAAGAGAAAAAAAAACAGAATTAAAGGTCAGCAACCATATTGCTCTTATTTGATTATGCAGGCATATACACACAGCATTCAGTCCTCGGAACCGTTTAGATAGTCAGAATACCCACAACTGGGTCACCAGTGTTAAAAACATTTTCAATCTACTTGATGTAGATGCCAATGATGACAATATTATAAACACAGTGTCTGACAAATTAAAAAGTATGTACACTGAACTTGCTGAAAATGAAACTCACAAAGATAATAAAGGAAAAAAATCATAAAAACAAACTGTACATACAGGCTACCAAGGGAATGACCATTTATTATTTGGGGGGGGGGTATATTTTCCAAAGCCACAAAGAGGGGCAGGCATTGACTTTTTATCAAGACTGGGGGGGGGGTATTTACTGTAGTAACCAGTTCTGGACGACAAGCAAAGCAGGCTGATGGAAACATGCAACCCATCACAAATTATAATTCACTTTAGAGCAACACAAAGAATTTTCAGTTTTGTTTACTATATTTACCAATTATCGACTAATAACCAACACTTAGTTCAGTATTGTCAAATCAGTCAGATTACACAAAAAATTATTAAACTGGATCATCCTGAAAAAGATGGTGGCTTTGTAGCAAAAGATTAATAAAATACATGAAGATAGATTTGTTGGCCTTGGGTACATAACCTTGTTCAGTGAAGTGTTTCCCCTAGAAGTATGAGAATAACAGCCAAGTGGCTACTAGTATTGCAACCTCCAAAACATTAGCCAGAAATAATTTTCTGTAGCCAGTTTCTGTCACATAGAAGCTGACAAATGAAAACCGAGCTTTTATACACAAAAAAATTAATTTAACTATAAAAAAGAGTGGGACCCCAGAGGGGAGTACAATTTAAGCATGAAATATAATGTTTATATGAAACTAACAACTTTGTGATGTAACTGACATTTATTAACATGTTCAAGTAATAAAAGTGAACATTAGTATCACCAGAGGTACATTTTTTGTACATTACTTGGGGTTTGCAACTACGGTGACATGATACCAAGATCCCGTTTCCAACTCGCTTTCGCATAAGCGTTGCAATTCGAGGTAACTAGGATACTGGGGTGTCCAGATGGATCAAAATAGCTATTCACGATAGTACGGATTAAGATAACTATATTTTCTATACATTTTCGATGTATTACATTTTTTCACTATGAATGTGGTAATACATGTTTTATTGTTTTATTACAAACAGCCTATGTCATGTCAGAAGGTCGTAGCATCAATCTCGCTATCTACGAGATGAGACTTGAATGGGATCTTGGCATGATGTCACCATACAGTACTATGCGCATTGCAAACCCCAAATAATGTACCTCTGGTATTACATAATATAACATAGTCTGCAATAGATGTCAATATTACATTCGTGATATTTTTCTTGGCGTACCAGTACATACTGCGTAGGGCTGCCAATACAGCCTTCTCCGCTTCGGCAAACACATTTTTCATTGCATGCTTCATATTCCATGAATGAAAATTTATCTTGCATTGCTTGTTTATGATCCCTTGTCGACAGTTTTGTCGATGCATGTTTTCTTCACATTGTCAAGTTTCAGTTTATCACATCCATTAGTAAAGATATTTTGTTTATTTGTTTCTTTAATAAACATCAAGTTCTTCAGGTAATCAAGTTCTAGCCATGGATATGATTTAACCCAGTCATCACGCACACCTCGGTTGACGCGACTTCCCATTTTCTTGGTACTTTCAGGTTTATCATTCGTTCTGACATTTATTTCAACTTCGTGATGAGCCTCAGACTTGTCTTTTTTTGAAGGAGGTGGTTTTACTTGTCCTTCTACGAAACTGTCAAGGGTACCCTGATAAATTTGTTTGCTACGAGCGGAGCCTTGCATATTGGCAGCCATTTTAAAAGAATGTTATGATGACGTGATGATAACAAACGGAATGAGGTCACGAGATACCCAATTAGAATCAGCCTTACGTACTAGAGTTGTTTTAGGATAATTAGACAAGTGTTTACGTGTTTTGATTTTTTTCACGTGGAAATCTTTCTTGGCAGGCAAATAGAAAAAGTTTACACATTTTTGTTATATTTTCGTTATAATTTTAGCAATTGCCAAATGACGAATTGGAGAAACTTTTTATTAGCCATTCTGATTTTTTTTTCGTCACTTGGCAAACGGCAGCAAAAACACTGCAGTGAAGAGACTAATTTATAACATGGACTTTCTTCAGGCAAAGGAGTATAACTGATAATATAAATTTAAAAATATTATATGTCAATTCGTGTATTTTTACCTCACAGAAATAAAATCTGCCTAAAAAGTAGTGCATAGTGGATATTGCTTGTACATGTAGTAGTGTTTATTTATCAAAATGCTTTTTCAAGGCGACAGTTTTATCTCTACTGTTTATAGTAAAACATTTTATCTGATAAAGATATATTCACAAATTAGACAAACTGAAGTTCTCCTCTCACTAAATAATTTTCACAAGTATTTTTGTTTCTTGTAAAAGATCAATAAAAATACATGACAATTAGCAGCCTGTTGGCTGAGATAGCTCTGCTGTTAGCAATGCACATTTCAATTAAAGAACTGAAGATATCATTAGAAAATGAACAAATATGTGTAGTATCAAAGCAACCAGACTTGCTGTTTTCAACAAGGAGTCAAAAATATCACTTTTCACCAAATATGACAAAAATATTCATCAAAATTAGATGATTTAAGATATCATCACGAAATGAACAAATCTGAGAGAGGTCTACATGTAGTACCTATATATGTAATATCAAAGCAATTGAACTTGTGGTTTTTAACAAGAAGTGAAAAATATCACTTTTTACCAAAAATGACAAAAATATTCATCAAAATTAGAGAATTAAAGATATCATTACAAAATGAACAAATCGGAGAGAGTCCACATGTAGTACCTATATATGTAATATCAAAGCAATTGAACCTGCTGTTTTCAACAAGAAGTCAAAAAGATCACTTTTTACCAAAAATGACAAAAATATTCACCAATATTAGAGAATTGAAGATATCATTACAAAATGAACAAATCTGAGAAAGGTCCACATGTAGTACCTATATATGTAATATCAAAGCAATTGAACCTGCTGTTTTCAACAAGAAGTCAAAAAGATCACTTTTTACCAAAAATGACAAAAATATTCACCAATATTAGAGAATTGAAGATATCATTACAAAATGAACAAATCTGAGAAAGGTCCACATGTATTACCTATATATGTAATATCAAAGCAATTGAACCTGCTGTTTTCAACAAGAAGTCAAAAAGATCACTTTTCACCAAAAATGACAAAAATATTCACCAATATTAGAGAATTGAAGATATCATTACAAAATGAACAAATCTGAGAAAGGTCCACATGTAGTACCTATATATGTAATATCAAAGCAATTGAACCTGCTGTTTTCAACAAGAAGTCAAAAAGATCACTTTTTACCAAAAATGACAAAAATATTCATCAAAATTAGATGATTGAAGATATCACGAAATAAACAAATCTGAGAGGTTTACATGCAGTATCTATATATGTAATATCAAAACAATTGGACCTGCTGTTTTTAACAAGAAGTCGAAAATATTACTTTTCAGCAAAAATATTCATCAAAATTAGAGAATTAAAGATATCATCATGAAATGAACAAATCTGAGAGAGGTCCACATGTAGTACCTATATATGTAATATCAAAACAATTGGACCTGCTGTTTTCAACAAGAAGTCAAAAAGATCACTTTTTACCAAACATGACAAAAATATTCACCAAAATTAGAGAATTGAAGATATCATTACAAAATGAACAAATCTGAGAGAGGTCTACCCAAGGTACATATACACAAAGTATCAAAGCATTCAGGCTTGTAGTTTTCAAGAAGAAGTCGAAAAAGTAAAACACTGACACGGACGACAAACACTGACAAACAAAGTCGTCAGCGGAGCTAAAAATATATATATATATATTGTATATATAGAAGGGGGATTTACAAATTTTTCATCTTCAACTTTTGTGTACATTGATTGAATTAACTGCAATCTGTTTATGTCTGTCAGTTTCAATTTTAAGACAATAATTAGTAACTCCTAATCTAGTTAAGGTCATAGATAGCTGAATATTAGTGATATTTAACAAAGTAGCTTTCAGCTTTTAACTTGTTCTCAAACATTCTGTTTGTCCTTAACCAATTTGCTTTATATTGTCATTATGGAAATCATTTTCCCACTGTTTTTCAAATAATTCACTCAATATCTTCACTCATGCATGTTGTTGAAAGTATCTCACTTGAAGTATAATTTAGTTACATTATAATGGCTATGAGTGTTGTATAACTGCTGTATTCAAACACAGCCGTAAATCAATTTGGGGTTTTCGAATTGATAGCGTTTGCGTGTTCATCGTTTGCATATATCATGTGACCTGGGTTCAAGAAACCAGAAGGTAGGACAGTTTCTGAACGTTCCGAACATGCAGAGTCGCAGTGCACTGAGCATCAATGTTTCCAACTCGCAATGTAAAAATCCCCTGCAATAAAACTGCCATCATCTTTCAAGTAACTCGTACCAGCCAGAAAATCACACACTATTCTGCCTAAGCAAGAATATAGAACATGCAAATTATCTTTGGCTGTAATATTTCACATTTTTTGCGGGTATACATATTTTGGGAGTTGAAAAACTATTTCATGGTCATATTTTATTCTTTGAAACACACACGTACCACACCTCTATTTCAGTCTATTTTCAACTGGAAATCCATGTTTTTCAGCTGTCTTAAATAGGTCTTCTAGCTGCCCTGGTTTGTACCCTACCACACTCACTCTGCTATCATTACATCTCGTCTGACGCTAATTGGGGAATTGAGAAATCTAGGCATAACAAATATATTGCACCTCACTAAACAAATGATTTCAGTAATGGACCACAGATGCTTGGTACCTTTAAAGGTGTATTCCCGCTTTGCAAATATACACCCCCATGTCTGTGCAAATGATTTTGTTTTAGCTTAAAATATGATATATTAAAAGCATGCCTTAGTTTGAGATTACTTGAGGGTTTATAATGCAGCTGACCTTCAAGGTCAAACAAAGCCTTTTAACTCAATGGTGAGTGTCAAACAAAGCCTCCTAACTCAATCTAAATCTAGCTCATTTTATTTGATGGTGTATTTATTTTTCAGAAAATAGTCCTCAAAGATTTGCAGTTTGAATGCAATTTTAATAATATTATCAAATAAATAGTAAACATAAGAAATATTCAAGTGAGGTATATGGCACCTGTTTGCACCAGACCCCTGACTTGTATGGGTTTTAGGAATCCCATGCCATCATCAAGTGGGTTGGTGCAGGTACCAGCCCCCCCCCTCCCTAAAACAGACCATAAGACCAAAACTCGGATGGTCAAAAGGTGACTAGGGTGCATTATTTTTTTCAAGAACTGTATTAGGCTTTGCAACTGAATTAAATTGTGAAAAAGGTTGTAATAATATTTTTTGACTCCCATGTGCGAAGCACAAAATGGGAGTCTTTGCAGTTAGTGTGTCTGTATGTGTGTGTGTAAGTGTGTATGTGTGTATGTGTGTCCGACTGTTCCACTGCTATCTCAAGAACCATACATCGGTTTTTGATGAAACTTGGTGCATAGATGCTTTGGGCCAATGCGCAGATTTGATTAGGTTTTGGTAAAAATCCATGCTCGTTAATTACCTAATTTGCATGATAATTAGCTAATTTTTAGCTGTTCTATGACTGTTCCACTGATATCTAAAGAACCACTCATTGGATTTTGATGAAACTTGGTACATAGATGCTCTGAACATATGCGCAGATTTGATTAGTTTTTGGTAAAAATCCGTGCATATTAATAACCTAATTTGCATGATAATTAGCTATTTTTTAGTGGTTCCATGACTGTTCCACTGATATCTAAACAACCACTCATTGGATTTTGATGAAACTTGGTACATAGATGCTCTGAACTAATGCTAGGTTTTGATTAGTTTTTGGTAATAATCCGTGGATACTAATTACCTAATTTGCATAATGATTAGTCAATTTTCGGTTTTTCCACTGATATCTCAAGTACTAATCATCACAT